GGCAGTGAGAACAGAGTGGATTCTTTAAGGGGAGAGATATAGGCCAGAACCCTTGCCCGATGTGGCCTTAGGTCTCATTTTTAATTTGGTGTCTTATTGCCACAAAGAGAGTATTCTGTCAGAATGACGACCTTTATTTTATTGCTGATGCTGGTCAGTGGTGTCTAAACCACAAAAGAGATGGAATATTATGAGGCGTATCTGACCTCCTGACCGTTCCCAGGCAGGAACACAGTTGAAGGATTTTCTGGACTCCCCTTAGCCCAGAGAGGGTCTGTTCGGTCAGCTGGGGGTGTTAGGGTTTTATTTTCAGTTTACATTATACAATATTTTAAAAAGTCCTCTCACAGTGTCTTCTAAACCTTAACTCTCAGCAGTTACAGATCACATGGGACTCACCCCATGGCTGCTCAGAACACACCAGCGCCTCTGGGCATCTCACTGTGCATGCTTAGGAGCCTTGCAGTTCTGTTGTTTTCTAGAATGTGAATTGTGGGTGTGTGCCGGGGAGTCAGAAAAGACCCAAGAGAGAGCAACCCTGGGAGGTGGGGCTGCCATAGAGGAAACCCTGGGGTGTGGCATTGCCTGTGGCCCTGAGGGGGGAGGAGGCAGACAAGGGTCACAGGAGAGAAAGGCAGCCAGCACATGGAATGACGCATGCCCATTGCTGAGCCCTAAGTCGGATATACTCAAAGGTAAAGTACACACAGATCCACCAGGATCTTTTAAAATTGCAGACCTCAGCTCAGTGGGTGTGAAGCATTCGCCAAGACTGTGTTTCTAGCAGGCTCGCACGTGACGTTGATGCTGCAGGTCTGCAGATTACACTTTGAGTCACAAAGGCTGTTTTTCTTCTTCCCCACAGAGGGTGCCTCAGAAGAGGAGATCAGACTCAGCAAGATGGTGATGAAATTCTGGGCCAACTTTGCTCGCAATGGGTGAGGCTCTTGGCAAAGACAGAGCAGGACTGGTGAAGGCGGGGAGCGGGCTGAACATGCCTACTGGGAAGGGGCAGCTTCTAAGGTTCTAGTGATCAAACTCCTGACACTGTGACCATAGCACTCTGATAATGAGAGCTATCTACAAATGGAGAGGCTGCCCTGTGATAGTGAGCTCCCCATCTCTGGAGGTATACAAGCCTCTTGACAGAGATAACTTGGGCATCCTGGCACATCTCAGAAGATTGTTAGGAACACACAGCAGCTGTGGGGCAATTCTATTTCATTCTGTTTCCAGAAACCCCAATGGGGAAGGGCTGCCCCGCTGGCCACAGTACAATCAGGAGGAAGGGTACCTGCAGATTGGTGCCAACACCCAGGCGGCCCAGAAGCTGAAGGACAAGGAAGTGGCTTTCTGGACCAAACTCTTTGCCAAGAAGGCAGTGGAGACCCCTCCCCAGACAGAACACATTGAGCTGTGAATGGAAGATCCAGCCAGCCTCGGGGACCTGGAAGAGCAAAAACTGGGGTATCTTGTGAAAGGGATTGCAGGTTCAGAAGGCATCTTACCGTGGCTGGGGAATTGTCTGGTGGTGGGGGGCAGGGAACAGAGGCCATGAAGAAGGAAGTTTTGTATTTGTGACCTCAGCTTTGGGAATAAAGTATCTTTTGAAGGCCAAATTAGTGCTTGTGTGTTGTACTGGAGATTAATCCATTGTCCTCAGAGACAGAATGATGCTGAAATAGGCAATGTGAGAAGGAAGGTGGCTCTTCTGGGGATGACCAGGCCTCAGGATGAGCAGAGCCCAGAGGGCTCAGCCATGGATGGTGCTCAGGGGAACTCTGGGCCTGTTGCATGTTTCTGGGTCCCCAGCAATTTCCAACAATAGGAGTTGGGATGGCCAGAGTGTCGCATCCAGACCCTCTATTTGGAGCTGATTGTGGAAATGGAAGTGGCCCAGGCTGAGAATGTGCCTGGATCTGGGAAGAGGGAGACATGCTGAGGTGATCCTGTTGCACTGTTGCATGGCATTTGCTGACGCTTGCACAGGCCTACAACACCTTTCTGCGTATGTGCACTAGCCTCTCAAAAACCCCCATGAGGCTGAGTCTTTCAACAACTGGTCTAAACTCCTTCTGTAGCCTGGACCACTTCTGGTGTGGGCAGGGACCACTTTGGAGTAAGTCTCCAGAGGGTCATCCTAATACTGTGTCTTTCAGAATCCCACAGGTGATTTCTGGATTCTGTTAGTACGTAGAAAACTCTAAAGCATGTCAAAACCGCCTTATCAGCAAGAGGAAGCTGGATTGTCCTCAAAATCATAACTTTTCCTACATGAAAGAGCTGAAGTTGCAAGGCACATGGTTCCCTTGAAATGGAAGGGAAGACAAGCACTAAGGGGGAGCGGTGGGATGTGAACACTGGCTTACTTCTCATCTGCAGGCAGGAGACGGGGTGACCATAAGGAGTGGAAATACTCTGTGAATTTTAATCAGTGCTGAAGGCCCAGTGTGGGCCACTGTGAGAGTATATCTCTGGGAACCATGGACCCATGAGGAGGTTGACTCCCATCACATACTCTACTCCATTTGTGTCTATCAGAGCCCATGAGAAAGATTAGGGTAGATAGTAAGACTGGAGAAAATCTGCCTTCAGGAATGCAGGCATGAGCCCCGCTCACACCCTTCACCCCTAAAGAACAAAAGCCTTCAACTATTGCGGAATGGCCAGCAAATCTTTTCCTCTTCAAGGTACTGGTAGAGACATATTGAGGTTGAAGATAAGAAATCTTTTAAAACTCTGTAGCCCTGGGAGATGAATAGGGAGACATCTTGGGCCCAGATTATTGGTGTTTTACCGCTGGGGATGGTCAATATCTCAGACAAAGCTCCATCTCCAACAGCAAGAAACGAAGGTCCTACATAAGGAGGAGTCTGGAGCACGACAAGAGAAGGCATTCCTGGCTGTTACCATGGAGTTAGCATTTCCCAGGTAAAAAAAAATGTACTGCAGGGGGAGATAGCAAAGCATGCAGTGCAACCATCTAGTAAAAGCAGGTGCACAGGAAAGAACTAAAGCTGAGAGTGGAACAAGGTATTAGGAAAATCCTTCAGAAAGCCAGCCCTTACACAAGCACACTAGAACAAGCACAAGGAAGCACTGGAAGCATTTGAAACAGATGGTGCATTCAGGATAGCCATAGCAACAACGAAGCTCTTCCCTGATCACCACACTCGAAATACTCACACACACACACACACACACGTGCACACATAAAATTAGTGTAGCAGCAGAAGAAAAGATATGTCCATTTCCTGTCACGGATACTACTTACTTCAGTTTCAACTCGCTTACCCATGATGTCAAGTATTGAATTCAAAATCACAAACCTTATAAAGGAAGCAAAACCTATTAACAAGAGACAAAACAGTTGGGCATAGTGGTGCATGCCTGTAGTCCCAGCTACTTAGGAGGCTGATGCAGGAGGATTGCTTGAACCTGTGAGTTCAAGGCTGTAGTGCACTGTAATTGCACCTATGAACAACCATCTGCACTCTAGCCATGGTATTATGGTGAAATAGCATCTCTTAGAGTGAGAGAGAGAGAGAGACAGACAAACAAAACAATCAACAGAACCAGATTCAGAGATAACATAGGTGTTAGACTAACAGACTGGGATTTTAAAATAACTACGTGGAATACTTCCATGAACAGATGGATAGTTTCAGCAGAGAGGTAGAAACTATGAGAAAGAAGCAAATAGAAATGTTAGAAATGAAAAAAATATAGTAACAGAAATTAGAAATGCGTCTAATGGATTCATCAGTAGATCTGACACAGCTAAGGAATGAATGAGTGCAGCTGAAGACAGGTCAATAAATATTACCCAACTTAAAACAAGGAAAATCAGTGAAAAATAAAAACCAGAGAATCAAAGAACTGAGAGATAATATCTAATGGTCCAACATATGCATAACTGGAATCCCAGAAAGAGAAGACAGATCAAGCAGAAGAAAATATTTGAAGAGATAATGGCTGAGAATTTTCCAAAACTAATGAAAAACATCAAGGCACAGGTCCAAGAGCTTGGAAATCCCCAAGCAGGATTCAACAACACCACCACCACCAACAACGACGACAGCAACAACAACATACACATTTAGACACACACTGAGAAAATATTGAAGGCAGCCAGAGGAAAAAGATATTGCATACAAAGAAAGGGATTAGAGCAGACTTCTCTTTGGAAACTATGTAAGCCAAAAAATAATGGAGTGACATCTTTAAAGTACTCAAAGGAAACAAATCTTTCAGAATTCTACATCCAGCAAAAACACTGCTCAAAAAATACAGGGAACAATGTTTTCAGATGAACAACAGAGAGAATTTATAATTACATACTTGTGTTACCAAAAATATAAAAGGAAATTTTTCATGCAGAAGTTATATGATACAGACAAAAACTTAGGGCAGTGATCATGGGAACCCTCAGCTAGTAGCCAGTTCCTCAGAAGCACAGGTTAGTGCAGGACAGGCATCCCTCTTTTCTCACTTGCAGTTCTCACGAATAAATGTAGAATGTGCTAGGATGCAACATCCTGACATGTGGGGACATGGAGGGACTGGCCATCACAATCCCGGCTCTGTCCAGTCCCTCCCCGGCAACAAGATGTTCTTCAACACTCTAGCCCAGCATGTTATGGTTCCCCCAAAGTATGAAACCCTGGGTGGGCTGTCTTCACAGCCCCGCAGCTGCAGTACAAGCAGGGCATGCGCAGCTAAGATTCCATCCGCCCCAGGAAGCCTTTTGTTGTCCATTGCTGCCCATGGTGGGAGTTTCCGAACTCTTATTCCTCTCTCAAACTGAGATTGAATGCCTTCCTGCTACAAGTAAAAATGCAGCTTCATAGATTTGTTGGGTGTTGGGCTGTTGTGTCACACCAGATCCAGAGAGGCTTATAACAGGCCTGTGGTGAACCTGCTTCACAGTTACAACCCGGGACTTGCGACTGGTCTCTGACATGGGGGCGTTCTTGTGGGACTGAGCCCTTAAGTTGTGGGATCTGGCGCTGTCTCCAGGCAGATGGTGTCAGATGGGACTGCATTAGGGGATGCTCAGGGGGCGTGCACTGGAGAATTGGTGTGTGGGAAAAGCCCACATCTGGTGTCAGAGATGAAGTACTGAGGTTGGCGGAGCGTGGAGAGGAAAAACAGTTGGGTTTTTAAGTTTGTGAGTTTTAGACTAGTCCAGGGAAGAGGAAAGAGATGGACCCTTTGCAGAAAAATGCTAGGTAGATGGAGTTTGCTGAACACTTCTGAGATGCCAGGTACTGGATCGGATTTGTGTTAGAGGCTGGGGAGGACCCTGAGCCAGAAGGCATTTAATCTCAGTTTGAAAGAGGAATAAGATTTGGAAACTCCCACCCAAACAGCCCATGTGTGATGACGACTGTAGAGACTAAAGAGCTAAGAGACGAGGCTTGATGCTGTCCCTGGATGTGTCAGCCAAGGCGTCCACACCACTATCTGGGGACATTGCTGGGAGCCTGGGCCTGAGGTTGTGGTTCTGACTCTGCCCTGGAAGCAGGGTGGCTATCTGACACTGCCCACAAGGGGGCTCCAGAGACTCGCTGCCAAATGGGCACCCTTGGCCAGAATGAGGACCCTGCAATTAGAAACCAGGACAGGCCCAGACAGGGATTTCAAACACTGCTGTGGGTGAGAAGGCAGTACTGCTTGGCACCTAAAGACTCAGACTCTAGATCCAGGCTGCGCAGCTTCATATTCCAGCATTGTGACCAGGGCCGGCTGGTTTCCTGGGCCTGAGGCCTGTGCAGTCACAGGGCCCTGCTGTCAGGAGGGCTGTCTGTGGCTTTAATGCTGTGCTCCTGCTGTCCTGAAATTCTTCAGAATTGTTAGAATGAGCATCCTGTATTGTTTTTGTGTGTTTGTTTGCCCAGCAAATTCCACAGCAGGTCCTGTCT